CAAGCATGATCCCAAGGTACTCTTATGGGCAAGCTAAGGAAACAATCCAAAAACACAGAGGGACAGCACAAAATTGGTAGATAAACTATGTGCACAGATTAATTGTTAATAGTTTATGGTCAAAAATGGTTCCTTCTTTCCTTTCCCATGCCCTAACACGCCTAATTCTCCTTTCTGCATCCCTTAATTATGGGCTGGGCGCCAGGCAGCCAGCGTATGGCTGGCTCAGGGCTGGCTGTCAGGCAACTCACACTGCAGCCTTCCCTTGGTGGGACAACTCGCCTGCCTCCTCTCCTTCATCCAACTACAACTTTTCATGAAACTTGTAGGAGTTTAATGTCCTGGGGAGCATCTGCTTCTCTGTCAAAACAGACAGAAACTGATCCATGAGTTAAAGCATTACTGAGACAGGACTAAGACAAACAGACAGCAGGATCTTTCACAAACTGGTGCAGAAAGCTATTCAACAGACCCAATGCAAACGGTGCTTCAATTAGATAGGAAAAGTCAACAGCCTGAACACACAGTGGAGAAACAACTTGCTAGACAGCAAATCTGCAGGAGAGGAGCCTGCCGACTGCGAGCCAAGCACAAACAGTGCCGTGCTGTCACACGCACACAGAAAATCAAAGATCCTACTGGGACGTGTAAATGGGACACAACCCACAAGGCGGGGGGGAGACCTCTGCAGAGAGCCCCACGTGCGGATCTGAGGACTCACGGCGTGGGAGAGACAGCTGGGGTCAGGGCAGCAAAGGGAAAAGCTGCACAAGGTCCAGAAAACTTAACCCGCAGGGAAAGGCTGAGCAAGCCGGAGCCAGCCCGTACAGACAGAGGTGACTGAGTAGGGAAACAAGAGCAGTAATCTTCAAACTTAGGCAAAAAAGTGTTTTTTCAAGAGAAAGAGACTGAAGCATCTCCCAGTTCCTTGGGATACAGGGCAGGGAGCTTTTCTAAATGTAAGGAAAGCAAAGGACTTGAATAGATCATCAAGACGGGCTGTGGTTTCTCCAATGCTCCTTCTGGTCAAAGGAAGCAGGTTCATAAACATCTGCCATGATTTCCATACAGCAGCTTTTATCTGAGGACAGTGCCTTGAGTGTCGCCCTGACACCTGACCTTACAACTTGCTGGGACCAGGTCCCACTTTGTACAATTAGGGATTGAGTATCCCTTGACTTACAGGGACTGGATTGAAATCTCCTTTCCTCTAATGCACCAGCCAGCCAGCCTTCAGGTAGCAGAGCTCCGCAGCCTTGAACAGGTCAGCCTGAGCTGGATCCCAGAGCAGAGAGGAGCTGCCTCGCAAGCACACACATGGCTTTTTTATTACATGGTACAGCCTGGAGGCACCTAATACCAGGTCCCAGCCATGCAGATTCCCGACCCACAGAGAGCCCAGGCACAAGGGGCTGGATGCTGTCTTCTACAGCAGTCCCAGCAAAGGAGGGAGCTGGAAAATCTTTGTACACTCATTTCCAAGATGGTTTGGTGTCCACTTCTTCCTTCTGGGATCCAGGACTCCATGAGAGTCCCTTATTGGGTCAACAGAATTAGTTTTTTGTGGATGGCTGTGGTATCCCTGTAATGGATTTTCTTCAGCCCCAGCCAGCCTTGCTCAGTCCTCACATTCCTGTGACAGGTTTTGTGCTGAAAACCATTTCCTTTTGGAGAAGACACTCTTTGGGCACAGGCACTCTCAGAACAAGGGGACAGCTGTGTCTGAGAGCTTCCCCAGCAAAGGGTGGGCAAAGGCAAGTGCAATGCCTTAAATGGGACACCAATACTCCATTTCCAGCTGCCACTGGTTTTTAGCCTGCACACAACATAGATTTTGTCAAGTGGCCTAAAATGAGTAGCAATTTAATACTTTTGTGTCGCAGTACAAAAAGAGCGTTTTTTTTCTTACACCTGTACAGGAATAACACCACTTCCATTCGCAGTGGGAGATGCATAGTGCGAGGACCTCAAATATACCGCAATGAACATAGTGTGAAATGGGTGGGTACCTAACCTAAGAGACAGGAACACCTGTTATGAAAAACCTATTGCTTAGTAATTCAAAGGCGATTCGTTCTGCTGAAAGTAAACATGCTATTTCAAGGCTTCATTGCAAGAGCTACTACAAAACAATAAAAAGCCCCTCTGCGAGTACCCAGTCCTCCTCAGCTGTCCAGCTCTGCTCCTTCAAGTCACATCTGCCACTACAGACCTGCTAAGTTTTCTTGACCCCTCCAGCCCCTTGCAGTTCTATCAGTTGGTCTCCTGTGGTGTTGCCTCTCTTGCTTTTTCCAAATTTGAAGTACCAGCAGAAGACAGCAAGGGCCAGTAGAAGGATCAGAACCAGTGGTAAATATAGGATGAAGTTCAGCAGTGGTGGGGATGAGCAGATCGTAGACAAAACAGTTGATTCTGGAGGAAAAGAGAAAGAAAAAAAAGTGAGGCCCCAAGCTAGTTTGAGTTTCTCACTCCTACTGTTTCTGTAAGTTATCTTCTTATTACTTTTCCCTCAATCTTCAACAGCTACCAATTTTTAAGAATTCATACAGACTACCTGAGGAGAAGGAGGAGAGAAACCAGGTAATTTGCCTCAATTTCTTGTTTTGGGAGGTTAGATAAGGCGCCAGCTCATTCAGCTGAAACATCCCAACAGGAACATCACAGCTCTTCAGTTAAGCCATTCCAGACAGGGCTCAGTAAGGAGAAACCACATACCACCCTTCATCCCGTGGGTCCCTGCCAGCGACAGCGGGGTGAGGCAGACGTCTGTCAGAGGCTGCACCACTGAACAAGGAGGGACAAGATGAAAGCAAAGGAAATCAGATTAAGGAGGTCCCTGTCTCCTCCAGACACCTGCCCCTCCTTGCTTCTGCCACTCTGCTATCCTATTTCAGCCATACTGAGCTGAAGGTAGCTGTGAGCCCCATCCCCGGCAGCTCTTGCAGAACAGCTCCCCGGCTGAGGTGGAGGCTGCCTGTGGTGCTGGTGGACCCCCCAGGTAGTTCAAAAAACCATGTTTGATCAGTCCCATGCTAGCTGAAAAGCTCTCATTTGCAGTCTCTCCATTTTTGTCCTGGGCTCCTTACAGCCACCCATTAATCCTGGCCAGTAAAATCTCATTTGACACGTAGCTTCAACACTACAGACTGACCTCAGATGCACCTGGCCTACCATGAAGGGTCATGCCAACTCCTTTGGGTCCATTTTATCCATCTCAAAGTGTTGTTCCTCAATTCTCCTCTTTAACGAAGACCCACGTGCAGATGTTTTACACACACTCTGCAGAACCATGCTGAGCATGTGCAGCTGCTGATTTGAAGCTATCCATGGGGGACCCACACATGGTGTGGCGAGGGGTGACCCTAGGGATGAACCAACCTGGGGCTACTCCTGGCTGTGAAACTGGCTTTTACTTCTCTACCTCTGAAGCTCGGTGCCCCATCCACATAGCTGGAAGCAGCATTTACTCTCCCATAGGAAAACAGGGAGAAGTCTCCACTACGTGAATGCCTCTACAGCACCAGGGAGGTATCTGAAAGGGCAGCATCAGGGATTAGAGCTGAAGTTACTCATGGTTACAGGTACACTTGCACATGGCTGTGTCATTACCCCTTGGCAATCTCAGAAACATTGAAATTTGTGAGCCAGAGGGGCATTTCGAGATACCTGCATCACTGGGAGAAACACACATGCTCTCAAAAAAAAAAAAAAAAAAAAAAAGAGAAAGAAAAAACACCCAGCTAATCTCTTGGATTTTGTGAAAACCATGAAAACCACTTGGCAAAAACATTTATACAAGAATTGGAGGAGAATTTTCCAGCACTTACTGAGCAATTTTAGCAATGGTTTCTCCACCAGTAACGGGTAACAAGAGACAGAGAGAGCTGATGAAGGAGAAATCTGAGTGCTAGAGGGAGCCGTGATGGACAACAGCAGGAACATAGCAGGGGGATGAAGTGCTGTCGGTCCCTCCCTGTGCAATTAAATCCAGATTAGCTCTGCTGTAGGTGCAGAGTCACGCGAGTAGTCTCCGTGCCTGCCCGTGCCAGCAGCAGGCACAAGGGAAGGCTCTACAGGGTCCCCCGAGCTCTTCCACGTCGGCCAGCATTGGCAATTGCTGCAGAGGCTATAACCACATGTAGGCACCCTGGCTGGCTTCAGGTATGGCAACTCCAGGGCTGAAGGTACGAGAAGAACTGCAGGATGCTGGGTGCAACATGATCGATTTCACAGTTCATATTTTTTCCTCCACATGGGTCATCCAAGCCTCCTATTTCCCCAAAGAGACAACAAGAGAGTACTTTGTTCCTACCTGTTACCTCCCTAAAAACACATTGCATCCGCCCGACTGAAACCTTTGCTTTTATTTCTTTAAAATTCTATACGCAGAATCCAGCTCTACCTTTGCACCCAGCATGCACCCCAACTCACCTCAAGAGGACAGAAGCTGTTTTAAGAGATCTTACTGGAGATGGACTTGCCAGAAAAATCACACCAAGAATTTCTTCCCCAAAACAGTTAGTGTTCTGGCCCCAACGGCACAACCGAGAGCATGGCTTTACGCCCTTGGTCCTGCAGAGAGCCCACAAGCTGCAAAGCACTGCAGACACAAGTGCACTCAATGGTACCCTCTGGACCAAGTGCCCCACAGTCCGAGCTCTTGGTATCTCATCTGACCACCACCTCCAACGTTTACAATGCCAAACACCTGGGTTTCAGCCCTGGCAGATCAACAGGACTGGGAATGGGATCTCATTGCCTCCCACATCAGGCTCATAGCACGTGTCACTCGAAGGGCTCCCCTCCCTCCCCTGGCTCCCAACACAACTCTGGTGATCTCCCCAGCACTGACCCCTTCTGCAATCCCTCAGCAAGTCCTCCTGGCCTCGCTGCATACTTGCTATCGCAGACAGCATCGCCAGCAGAGCTGCCATTATCCCCAGCACAGCTAAGGGGTAACCGGTGCAGGGGGAGCAGCCCCTCACACCCAGCAGCATTACCTGGCGGGATGGTGGTGAGCTGGGTGTACCCTGAGTGCGCCAAGGCTTGGAGAGCCCAGTCCTTCCCCTCACTCTGCTGCTGCCACTCTTGCACCTGGCAGTGATACACGCCAGCATCACCTTCTTCCACGCTGGGCAATGTCAGGCTGAAGTCACCTGCGGTGGGGCGACGGAGGTGTAGCCTCCCTGCCAGGCTCTCCTGGGGGTACTCGATAGCACCGTCGCGGTGGAGGGTGAGCAGGGGCCTGATACGGCCGTTCTCCTCCTCCCGAAACCAGGTGGCCGAGAGGTGGGTGGTGGGCAGGGGGGCACCCTGCAGCAGGCAGTGCAGTGTCACCTCCTCGCCCTCTCTCGCTGAGATGCTGCGGTTGGTTTTCTCCAGCTGCAGTTCGCGCTCTGGGGTAGGATGCAAGCAGAAAGAGACATTGCAGTGTTGCACTGCAGTAGCAATGCTCCTGCCTGTGCCCACAGGCTGACGGAACTCTAGTGGAATGAAGCGTGGGGGATTGGGATGGCCTCTTGCAAAAGCCTGTGCAGGACACCCACAGGCCCCTCGCTCCTGTGACTCATTCTCCCTGGGGCGATTCCCCCCCCCCCATCATCTCTGCCCCCTGTTCACAATACTTCTCACCCCCTCCAAATAAGTGATAAGGCATCCTTTGGACCAAAATATATTTAGGAAGCTGTAATTCTCTGATCCACTTTATTTAGGGTCATAACCCATAAGCCAAGTGAGGCTGAGAGAGGGAAGAACTGAGCCAGGGAGACCCACTGTGCAGCCCAGCGGTGCAGCGCCCAAGGTGGGAGCAGCTGAGCCTTCAGCCTGGTTCTCAGCAGCAATGTGCTGCAGGGTAAGGAAAACTGAGCGTCTGCCTTCAGGATGCTCAGGAGTACCAGGAAAGGGCAGCTTCTCTATTCACAGTACTGTACAACCAACCAAACACACGCACCATGTGTTGGAAGGAAAAGAAAGTGCCATGACTCATTTTGTTATGAAGCATTAAACATCATCTGCCAGTGGCAAAAATATGACTTTGGTTGGTTTGGGAGGATGTGGTAAATACTCCTAATTCCCTGTTTCCCTTTGAGAGGCACTGACACCTCCTGCATCTCCAAGTCTCAGATCCAACACAGGAGCTGTTGCTTCTCCTAAGCCCTGCCAGCTTAGGAGAAGCCTGGACGGGACCCCATCGTAAATTGATCCAACCTTCTCCATCGGCACCTATACAAGAGATAACCATCTGCTCACCTGGGAGCTTGAACTCCAGCGTGGTCCCTCCTGATGCTCCCTCTCCGAGTTTGTACCAGCTGTCCACCAGCCAGAGCCATTCCTCTACCACACAGTAGTACCTGCCCTGGTCCCTGGGGTCTGCAGAGAGTATCTGCAGCCAGAAAACGTTGCTGGACACCCTCTGGCTCAGGAACCGGGACTTTTGTGCAGGAGAGCTGAACTCAGCCCCGTATTCCAGTATGCTGCTGTAGTCAGCCTTTACGATTTGCAGTGGGGTTGCATCTGCCGGAGGAGGAGGTAGGAAGTACCAGGTAATGGTGAACTGAGAATTATTCTGGGTAAACACAATCCTGCACTCAATGGCTGTGTCAGCACCACCAGCAATCTCCACAGAGCTCTCTTTCGTAGCTACCCGAAGCTTGCTTTCTAAAATGGAGAAACAACATAATCATGCTGGCTGCAGCTGTCAATACAGGGATGCTGGCAAGGAGAGGAACAAGGCTGGCTTGAGACACCCACTGGGAGAGAAGGGAGGATGATAGTGCTCAGAGGACAAGGACCCATTAGGGGATGCTGCAGTAGGGGGGTAGTTTTTTTATCCAGACAGCCTTATTTGAACTGTGGTGGGGAATCACTGGGTGCTACTGGGCAGAGGAGTAGCAGAAGAGGCACTTGGGGGACCATGGGGCAGGAATGGGGGCATGGAGTCAGTTGCCGCATTGGAGCTTGTAGGCAAAGCCTCTGAAGCAAACGTGTCTGTCTACTGCTGCTTCTATCGGCAGGCTCACACGTAAGTGACAAAACCAGCCCACAGCTTTGGAGACTGTGAACAAGCGTCTTTTATCTCGGAGAGACTACAGAGCCTGCGTGGGTTTCACTAACAGTTGCCATCTCAGGCATTTGCTGTGGTTATTAATCTGAAACCACATAACACGGTCCTGAACATCCGCTGTGATTACACCCAGCAATTGTTCAATTTAGCGCTAGGTGGTTCAGGAAAGGAGAATTGCGGTGCTGCCTGCAGCTCTGCCCCCCAGGCAGGGCACACGGTTGCTCTTGATGTGCTTGTGCTGCTCCTGGTTTGAGGGACCCCCTTCCTGCCGCACATCACCTGTTGCTGCCGCCTTTTCTTCTCCTCCAGCAGCAGAAAGGCCACAAACGGGTCGCTTCGAAGGGCCTCCAGCTGCCTGTGTTTCCCCTCAGCCCTCCCCTCCGTGCTGAGACACCACCTCTGTCAGATGGGGCCAGCGGTCAGGTGAAGGAGTACACACAGATATCTGCCCGTGCGTAGACAGAAATTACTTCAGCATGAGACACCATCAGGGTTTTAAGGGGTTGTAGGTTGAGTTTCTATTCTTAACATTTTCCTTGTGTACCAGCTGAGCAGCAGGACACCCTGTGTCATGGAGGCTGGGGGCAACCGAGCTCCCTTAAGCTCAGCCTATGAGTGCTGGCTGGGGGACGGGCTGAGGAAGGGACGCTGAGATGTCCCCGCAGAGCATCTCAGCCCCCTGCCCTCGGCCACACTGAGATGTCCCCGCAGAGCGTCTCAGCCTCCACAGGCTTAAGCAGGGCACTCTCCTCCACAGCACCTCCCCGAGGGATGTAACGGCAGCAGATTATGGAGAGGGTCTGTGGACCAGAAGGGAGCTGTGGCTTCTCCCACAGGGGCTGATGAGGAAGAAGGACACTGCAGGACAAAGCCCACATATTTCTCCTTTCAAGCATTTCTTCTCAAAACTCAAGCAATCCACTTCAGAGGCCATCGCCGTCTCTCTTGAGACCCGCCAACGCAAAATATTCCAACTGCTGGCTTTTGACACTCCTGCACGTTGCCTCTGCCTCCATCTCAAATTTGCCGCCAAAGTCTCCCTGCTCATGTCCACTTAAGCTGCTCTTTTCTCTTTGCACCCTATTGCTCTTCCTCCCTCTCCTCTTCACACTGCAGACAACACACTTTCACCAAAAGGTTGAGTTTCCTCCACAGGAGGACTTGCACAAGTCCCAGTATCTGCTTACTGCCTCATCTCATTCACTGGGAGGTGGCCGCTATCAAGGGATCAACAAAGCGCTGTCCTGCATTTCAGTGTACATTTGCTGCACTGAGGAAACAGGTAAGGGCAAGCAGCAGAAGAGATGGAAAAGCAATCACTCCAATTAGGAAGCTGTGCAAATTCGTCAGATCCGCACATGCAGAGATCAAGCAGACTTGAGCGTGCTTAGGAACCAGATGCAAACTGTTGTCTTCCAACTTCAGTATTTAAAAACATACCCAGTCCAGAGCCAGCTCTAAGGAAGTACAAATCTCCAGAGAGGGACACTGGAGACATTCAAAAGCCATCTGGAGATGGTCCTGGGCAACCTGCTCTGGGTGGACCTGTTGAGCAGGAGGCTGGACCAGATGACCTCCAGATGTCCCTGCCAACATCAGCCATCCTGTGTTTCCGTGACAGGTGAAATGATCACACTGGCAAAAAGATGACACTTGGTTCTTAACTTCAGCTGCCCAGTACAGAGGAATATCACTCGGCCAGCCTGCTGAAATCCAGGAGCTTTGGTCAGGGACCCAAAAGCGAACTCTGCCAAAGGGAAATTAAAAATACCCCCAGGTATTTCAACTGGAGACTTTGCTCCCATTTCAAAGGCCATATGAGAGGAGGCGGCAGGACCAGGGGAAGTGGTGGACATCAGGGACAGCCTTCCCATGTCAAACACAGGGATGTGCCTTTCCCAGCAACAGCTGCTGGGGAGAACATGCCGGCAGAGCAGCCCTGCCACTCATCGCGAGCAGCTCTGCCACCTCTCCCAGCAAAAAGGAGCTTCAGGAGTGTCAGCTGTGGGGCCACACTGGACCAAAACATGTGCGTGCCTTCAAGTGAGCTCCTCCTGGCAGCGCTGCTGTGGTCAGGAGCAGGCTGGTAAACCCAGGACCTCTCCCCAAACCTGGAGAGGCTGCCAGCACAGGAGATGTCAAACTGCCCGGGGGAGCCTCTTGTTTGAGTATGGCCTGGCCTGAGACCCGCTGGGGCAGAAAATACTCTGGAGAAGTAAAAGCTACCAGAGCTCAGAGAGGAGCCACGGGAACCACTGCTGTGAGCATTTGATTTTGATGAGAAAAATTGCTGTTAGACTTTCAGAGATCACCTCGAGAGGAAGCAGAGCACTTGCTGCAAAGGCCTTTTGTTTCAGCTCCAAGTCTCCTCTCACTACCAACTAAAGCTCAATTACTGGAAAGGGCAGAGCAGCTGCCTGCCTTTTCCTTTGGCACAGAAATACACGGTGCTGTTTTCCCTTTAATTTTCAATTTAATTAACCAAGCCGAGCCTCTCGCTGCCATCTCGCTGTGAACTCTGCCTGCTGACGCTGCGCTTTCTGCCCGGCCCAGGAGCAGCGGAGCATACAGAAGGGCACAGTCCCTGCCGGGACCATCGTGGGCTGGCCGGAGGGATGGCGGGTACAAAGCCCCCCACGGCTCACTCCGGAGCTGGGGGAAGCCACCGTGGGCGGCTGCGCTGAAAGGCTGATGGGAGCATCCCTGCTAGGGTTGGGCAGCATCTGCCTGCCCAGGGCAGGGATCCCACCACGAGTCAGATGCTGAACTACCTAAGAAGTCGCAAGTGGAACAGACCTGTCCTCCTTCCCCTCCTGTTATGACCTTGCACAGATGTCCCTCCAGTGTGAAGCTACAGGCCAGATCCACAGTGGCATTTAAACTCCTAAATCACTGACTGACACCAAGTGGTAAACCAAGTACCAAAGCAAAAGTCAAGAACTCCAGTATCTCTGCAGGTTCCAACCATAAGATTTTTTACATGAAGAAACAGGCTGGTGATTTTAATGATTTGCAGCTTCATTTTCTGCAGCTTCGCCTCATCCCATTGCTGCTATAGCCGGCTTCCTTCCCAGACTTACTTCTCTACCTTCCCAAATATCCTTCGCTAGCTCATGCTGCCTTTCCTGAGAGAGACTGTACTAAAGCCAGCAACCACCTCCCCCTGTGCATCATCCCCTCCCAGTTCCCACTGTCTTTACAGCATCACAGGATCCAGTAACAGCTGCAATACATTTGGAGCCAAATGTCATAATATCTTGCTGCTCTGCTGCTGCCGTCTCCTCTGTGTAGACGCGCTACGATTACACCTGCTTGGCTTAATGCCATTTACACTACTAACGTACGCTCGCAGACACTGTCTGTTGTCACCAGTAGCCTCAGTACCACCCCGCAGACCCCCTGCCTCTGGCTGGCTGTAGTTCAGGTGTAAGACAGAGCATCCCAGTACCCAGCTCCACAGGGGAGAGAAAAGAGCAGCAGCGGAGCAGGAGGGAGAGCACCATGGAAACGAGCCCGAACAGGGAAGGAAACGTATCAGCTTATGCTACAGTAAACCCATCAGTTAAAAAACACAGAAAACGCATAATTTCAGTTCACTGGGTTGTGATCCTGAAAATCCAAGGATTAGAGGAAGGAGCACTTAATGCACAAAAAAAGAGCAAGAACTCTCCTTTGCTGGCAGCACTGACATGAGGAAAAAAAAAAAACAAAACACACAACACACTCTCACGTCTGCCTCCACAGGCTCAGAGGTTTTGGCCAGGACAACCCCTTCAGTTTCTCCAGCAGCCCCAGCCATGAGCAGGGCGAGCTGACATCGTGCTGCTGCCAGGTGGCAGGGAGCAGGCACACGTCGGGCTGGCTGGGGGGCCGCCGTGTATCTGCAACATCTCTCTTCCATAAGAGGACGAGGCTCCCTGCGCAATGCTGGCAGGCACGGTGGCAGCACGGACCCTGCCTGTAGAGGTGGCCATAAAAGGGAACTCTGGGCAGGAGATACCTCCACCCAGAGCCCCTAGCACCTCACAATTCACTGCTGGCTCCCAGCCTGGCAGAGAGCCCTGGTGCTTTCTCAGCACCTCTCAAATACACTGTGGGAAGCTCAGAGGAGCTCAGACATATCCCAGCACCACCTTCAGTCTCTCTCCACTGCCCTCCAGACCTATGGAAGCTCACACCATGGGAGGCACCTCGCACCCCCAGCATTAAACTGGGCTCCTTGGGGGGGACTACTTAAGCCCAGAAACAAGGCTTAAAATCCTAGTAGCAAGGATGATCCCTATATGCTTGGCATAATGCGCAAACCAATGGACGTTGCCCCTCCCCAACATCAAATTTGCCTCCAAGAGTGTTGTCAGGAACTGTGGGCGTTATGGAAGAAACAGGACAGGTAGCACTGTCTTGTGTGGCCCTGGGAGGTGACCTCACTGGGGATACCCTAGCCATCAGTGGCCCTGGTTGCCCCAGTCATGTTTGATGGATTTAAAGTTGCAGAAGAAAAGACCTCTGCTGAAGAAATGCCTGTGGCACTGCTTACCTGGCAGCACCACCTTTATCCCCACGGCATTGGACCTGGCGGTGGCCGCCGACTGTCCCAGCGGTAGGGTGGTCCTTCTGCCGAACTCTTTGCCCCGCCCCCCCGCCGCCACCCACGGCGTGGGGGGTGCCCAGCCTGAAGGAGGTGGCAGCCTTTGTCAGTTGGACTTTCCCCTGGAAGTGTGGCTGCGCCGCTCCCCAGGCCATGGTGCCACTGGGAAAGACTCGGACCAGCTCATGGTACTGGCCAGTGGGTGGGCTGGGCTGGAAGAGCCACCCCACAGACACCGGCACCTCCTCAAGGGTGTAGCTGGCGTTCACTTGGCATACGAGTTCAAAACTCTGCCCATATCTGACGGTGGCAATTCGGCTTCTTAGTAAGGCACGCAGATTGAGACCTGCTCAGGAAGAGAGAGCCCTTGGTGCCAGGACAGAAACCCTTCCCCACGCCACCTCACCACCACCCTTCCCGCGCAGAGCCGTCCCTGCTGCCCTAGCCCCGTGGAAGCCACCACACCTGCTGA